TAACATAATATGGTCAATTAAAAAATTAGATAATAGTTATGTTTTTTTACTACTTGTATTTTGTACATATTTTAATGATGACTGTATCTTTTTATTAGAATACTTATATCATGATTAATTTGATTTGTATAATCGTCTCTTATACGAAGCACTTATATATAATTACGAACATTGACCTAGTTACAGTCTAATTGGATATCATAATTTAAATAAATCCCTATTATAAGAGAATCATAATTATATATTAACAGCATCTCAAATTAAAGGTGGGTGATAGATCAATTGTGGTTGCTAACCAAATTATTATGACGTCCCTTCGGATGAGGCGCATAGCGTCTGGGATTTGCGGTGCTTGAAGGCGTACCAAATTTCTAACAACTCCAATTATCGTTTTTGTACATCGATTAAATAAATCGGCTAACGTCGATCTTGATGGATTTCCTTGATCAAAATGTTGATTGTAACGTCGTCAATGAGGTGAATGTAGGATAACAGTGATTTATGGTATTTTTATTGGCGATCTAAGCACAATAAAGCAGAAGAAACACCAAAATGGTCTAGAAAAAAAGTACATTTACCAGTGAACAACTGTGATCGGTTAATATAAGTATCAATGTATCATTGTTACAAACTTATCAAAGTCAAAACTAAATTAGCTAATAAATATTACAAATATTGAATGGACTTGATCCCTTCTTATGCATACTAACACTCTCGTTTATAAACAAAAAAATATAAGAAACCGAATTCAAACCCGAATTTAAATTTGAATTCAAATACGTATAAGAATACGTACGTGAGCACGCGGACTTATAAAATTTTATCCTTGTAGTTGTAAGGGTTCTAAAATGGAATATTTCCATATGTTACCAACAATTCGAATTCGAATCCAAATTTAAATTTGAAGCTGTATATGATGCTAAACAAAACAAACATATAATTCCAAAATGTACTAAAATTATGGTCCACACATGCTCAATGGCACAAGGCTAAAGTTAGGCAAGTTATTTTTTTCATGGTTTGATTGGAACTTTTTTGAATTTATAACGGATAAACTATTTGATTTAGGAATTATTTCGGAAAATAAGATATATATATATATATATATATATATATATATATATATATATATATATAAAACATTAAATATGAAAATCGATTTATCACAGATTAGTCATAT